TCGGAAATGGTTTTGTTAATATCTTCTGTATTATCGGAAATGATTTTGTTAATATCTTCTGTATTATCGTTGATAATATTTTCTGTATTATCGGAAATGGTTTTGTTAATATCTTCTGTGTTATTGGAAATTTTATCTTTAATCTCTTCATTATTATCGCAAGGTTCTTCGTTGCTTACATCCTCATTCTCTGAGATTAACGCATCCGTCAATTCAATATCCTTGAATCCCTCTTGCACTGCGGTAAAGACCACAATGCAGGCACCATCCGGAGTACTTAAAATTTTTTTAGCTGAAGACGGAAAATCAGCGATCCCGGGACGAAACCTATCAATAATTAAACTATAAATCTTTGCTTTACCATTATTTTCAACAAAACAAATATCTTCAGTATTTTTTATGAAAAGAAAATGGGTGATTTCTGGAGCAACGTTATTATAATATTGCTTAAGTTGAATGTTCCCGTAGCTCAATCTAAGATTTGTTTTATCATCATCGACACCAAAAACATTGAGCTGGAATGATTTTTTTTTATCAATTAATATATAATTGAATAAAATAATAATAATAATTAAACCATACCACAGCATCGTTAGGTCTATAAACTGCAATCAACCCCTTCGAATCATTAATGGCAATTTTCGAATTGGGACCAGACGTTAATTTTTTAATTGGAGATTGCGAATTGATTTTCATGGGCAGGCGTTGTAATGAATCAAAGTAAAGTTCCATTTTTTTTTCAGTTTTAACTTTGTTCCATAAAATTACAAGAAACTTTTTATCGAATTGTGATATGTTGCTATATGATAAGAGATAATTTAGTCTCATAAATTAGATAATTGTATAGTGTGGTGCAATACTTACATAATTTCATATTTTTGGGGATCAATTTCGAATGAAACACCTGAATTTTGACCCGAGCTATGTAATAAAGGTGTAGGTATGAAGGAGTCAACTTTTTCTAATTCCATAGAATCTTCCTTGCTAATCCTTGTTTCATATATGGTAATTTTTAACTTTGCTGGGTTTAGGACCTCATTTTCTATAGAAAGATGATATTTATACTTCATTATATTATAAATAGCTTCATAAATTTTATATGCTGTATATTGTGGAATATGTTGTTAGGACGGTAAAAAAATAAATTGATACGTAAATAGACACTTTACTTACTTTTTATTTCAAGGCCTTTTATCTTTAAAAGTTCTCCTTCGGGATATTTCTTATTAACATCAGAACAGATAAGATCTACTTCTCGAATTTCAAGTTCATGTCTTTTTTTACTAAAATCGCGATCCAACTCCTGTAAAAATTGCGTGCTGGAATGTATTTGTAAAAACTTTTTAGTTTCTATAAATACTATAAATTCTGAATTTCTCCAAACATCATATTCTGTATAAAAAGCACTAAATATTTCTTCGTCGTGGGAAATTTCTTTAAAAAATTGACTGTCAAGAATCTGAGATGCCTCTTTTTTGATATTTTTTACCATATCACTTTTACTCTTGTTTACCCATTTTTTGACGAGGTTTTTTAATTCTAACTCTTCGTCGAAAAATATTTTCAAAAAAGTTGGTCTTGGGTCCGGAGCAGCAATTTTTTCACTTAAAGCTTTTGCAAGAATAAACCGTCTCTTAAGATTTATCCATGGTTCGTAGTCAATGAAATCAATGAATTTCTCCAATTTTTGTACAATTTCAGGATAACTTTGCTGAATATAATTTTTTTCTAAAAGAAGAAATATTTACAAATAAAAGTTCAGTCAGCAATGAATATCCAACCGAATGATATAAACAATACTTAATCAACAGACCATCTTCTTTTATGATGTCTTTGCGATAGATTTGAATAGTTAGATAAAATTTTAAAATTTAGGAGAATAATTCAAAAAAAAAAAAAAAATACCAGATTGTTCATGTAAGATTTCCTCGAAATTACTTAAAAAAAATGTTAAAATAATGATTGTTATCTTCAAAAAGAACAACAAATATTATTACCTATATTTGAGTTTGAGAATGTGCCATGCAAGTCTCTCTGTAAGCAAGGTATCTTTTTCTTCATGTTGCTCTTTAGTCCTAATCTTCTCCTGGTCGAGTTTAATCAATTCATCATAATATGGTTTAAGAATCTCTTCTAACCCTAATCCGTCCTTGACAATTACTTCAAGGTTTGACATTTTTAAGCTGGTGTCTATAATTAAGGCACATTTTTGAGTTTCTAGTTTACTTCTGAACCATTCGCGTAAAGAAGATGTCGAATTAAATGATATCGTGTCGCTCTTGATAGACTTGGTTTCGGGGACAATTTCACGCGTAATGAAGGTTTGATTTGATACAGAATCAACAACAAAAGAATTCAATGGGATATTATTGAGATAATCATTTCTTGGGGCTTGGCGTGGCTCCAATCCTGAAATATTGACCTTAAAAAGAGTTGATAATTAATATAATATAGAAGACAAGATTTACTTGATAATAGAATTAACACTATAAACTTTCGGATAAAATTTCACAAGACGACGACGTTACATGGAAACTTTTTTTTTTAGCTTTTCGCGAATTGATGATCCTTAGGCAATAGTGAATAAATCTAATTATCCCAAATTTTCGAAAGAACGAAAGTTTTGACTCACTTGGAATCCGGGAACAATTTTGAAATCTTCTTTTTGCTCTTGGCTTTCTTTTACTTCAAAATCAACGCCTACGCTTACATCTTCATCATCTTCTTCTTCACTATCGTCATCATTTTCTTTATTTGAGATTATTTGCCAATCTATACTTTCCAGATCATGTTCGCTCATTAAACAAATTTGACGGTCAGTCAATTTTGTGAGGTATCTGAAAAAAAAAATCAAATACATGATGAATTGGAAAATGTAGCGTGGAGTTGTTAAATAGTTTAACCATGGTTACCTATGTAAATTTGTCATATTTTTCTTTCTATATGAAGATGCAGAATCATCATAACAACCATCTTCGCTCCAATGAATGACCAAAAAAAGAGGATTCACCTTTTCAGTAGATAACACTTGTTGAAGATAAATACCTGGCCGGAGGGGAGGCATAACTTCACGTGAAAGCTTGTCAGCAGACGATAAATTAATCCATTCATAACTGGCAATAATATATATATTAACCGCTTAAAAAGAAGATGATTACAACACATAACTAAACGAGTAAAAACTTACTTTTCCTTACTGATAATATTCTTATTGTGCAAAAACTTTGCAATTAATTCATTGCGGCCATAACACCCCACGAGCCGGATAGAACGGGAATTCAACTTTTTGTAATTTATCTTTGATATAGACTTGAAACTATTTGGCATGATATCATCGCAAAGACGCTTAATATCATGCTGAGATATAATTATCTTATCAACTGTAATTTTAATTATTATCAAAAGGATTTGATGAGCGGAGTTTTTGAAATAGAAGATTCAAACATATAGATTCTTTACCAAGTCCACATCCTTGTACAAATCCAGCAGTCGATAAAGGCCAGGAATAGCACACAAATCATTTTTTTTATCATACTCTGTTGTAGTTTTGGTTTTAGTTATCTCATCAGGGACGCTGCTATCCATATGCATATCCTGAGCTGATGATAATGCCTGAGGCAAAGACGCAGATTCAGAAGAATTTGCTAAATTCAAAGAAGAGTCGAGTCGAAGAATACACACTAGTATCAATCATTAAGAGAGCTACATTGAATGCACTAGAATGAACATGATGTATTTATTCATTTGATTACCTGAACTTTCATGACCGTCCATCCTGAATAAATTGGAGGATGAAAGTTTTAATTAATTTTTAAAAGAATATATATATATATATTTATTCTCATCAAAACAGGTTAAAAGGAAACACAACTCCCAATATATGTTTTTGATCAGCATCAATCGTCAATCTAGGAAATTTGTACGACTTTATACATGCATTCTTAAAATAAAGGTATTGTCACTTTGCATTGCACGTGATTAAATACATGAGATTGACAATTGTCAATATTCAGATCGCCCGCATGTTTTTTAAAGGTTCATTTTCGAGATTTTTTTTTTCGATTGGTCAAGTTATTTTAATTTTAGTATTTATCGTTATTTATTTTTTTTTTTATATTATTAGTTATTATTAGTTTATTATGGATTCCAATTTTGATCCAAGTGGCGTTTAAGCGCTAAAGTTAGGAAAAAAGTTTTTTCGTTATGAAATAAATACATTTAGGTTGTAACCTCGAATACAACATTATGTCATTTAAAAAAGAACTATAACGTGTCACAAAGTCGTAATTTTGCAAAGAAATAAAAATCGCCATTCCTACCGTCAATTCTCATTTCTTCACGACATTTTTCCCTTGAATTTCTTGATATAAAAAAAAAAAACTTTGAACAAATGTTACTGTCAAAGACCATGGTCAGAAAGATATCAGTCGAAATGGAAGATATGTTGTCACGTTCGATGTAGGTAAGTGTTTTTGGGTAATGACATCCTGCAACTTTTTTAATAAATCTTATTTACTTTTTTTTTTTATCGTAATATATTTAAAATTTAAAAAATACCATTTATCGCGAATTTATTAACTCCGAGGAAAAAATGAACGTCTAAATTCTGAACAGAATGTATATAATGAAACCAATGAAAGTTCTGAACTATTGCTCATCTATCTATAAGTATTATACGTTTGTCGATCAACTTCATACGTTCAAAACTTATTGAAATTGAAAAGAATATTTTTTAAATAAAAAGTCATAAAGTTATCGTATAAATAAAATGTAGATACAAAATTTGGAAATTTAGAAAGTCGAGACGAAAAATTATATTCCCTCATATTGTATAATTATATTTTGTTGATGCTTAATTTCATTTTCTTCTCAAGAATACATTATATTAAATTTTATTATTAAACTGATCCTTTTAAGATAAAATAATTCGATATTGTAAAATAGACCTTATTGTTGTTTTCGTTTTTAGATAAGGAAATTTGGGTATCTAGTGCTCGTATGTCTTTAAAACTTGTTAATTAAATTATCATTTGATATATATACATGTATATACCGTGGTTAATTTTTTAGCTTTAAAAATCATAAAAAATCTCATTTAATTTCTTCAAATTTTGATTAAATATTTAAATAAACCGATACGTATTCCGATTCTTTTTAAGGAATTCCAACAAGCTAAAAATTCTCGATTTTTAACGAATTCTTATGATACTTACTACCTTTAAGTAAATTAAAGTTCCAGCAAAAATCAATGAAATTACTAATAAAAATCTTCAAATTACAGTTCTTTGAACAAGATAAAAAACGTGAGGCGCAGCCAATAATATTTATTCTTTCAATGAAAATAGTTTGTTAGCTTCCGAGACTTGGACGTTTTGAAATGAAAAAAAGTTTCTTACTTTCAAATTTAAAAAAAATAAAAAAATTTAATATTTAAAATAAAGAAATATTCTAATTTCACAACTTTTTAACCAACATTTTTAAAACTTTCGTTTTATTTTTTTCAGGCCATACCAAGAATGGCTGTTGCAGGGACCATTATCTATCAATATTATAAATTAATTTATATATTATGGCCTATCGTTATCAATGGTAAAAGATCGTAAGATCGATCACGAAAAGAAGTTCAAGAAAAGGAGTCACATCCTTGTGTCTAACCTTTGTAACAGGGACAGTTAAGAATACGTAATTTAAATTATTACCTTATTATAATCCATAATTATAGCACGTAATATAATAATTTTTAATATGAAGCTTTGAGTTGTTACTGTAAATTAAAAGTACATTTTTGAACGACTAATAGGAAATTTAAAAATTAAACAAGAAAATTTATAAATATTTTCTTTTTGTATCGTGAATAATATACTTAGCGTTATATCACAAAATTATTGTTTAAGTCTGTCAGTATTTGAGTTGTGCTCGAAATTCTGTAATATTAAGACAGTTGAATTAATAAAAATATTACATACTAAAGACACGATTGATATTCGATATATCGTTAGTGCAACGCAGGAAGTAGAAGATTGCATTGTATTCTGTATTGAACAATTGGATTTGGTTAGAGTTAAAGAAGAACTCTTGGAAGCAATGTATAGATTTATAGAAGTCTCGGGATTTTCGACGGTTCACAGTGTTTTGGCTCGTAAATGCTAACGTATGAATTTATATTGAAACAAAAAATCGTTTGTAAATTTCCAGAGTTTGATGCAAAGAAAGTTTATTATATTATTTGTAAAACTTTTGTTGTCATATATTTATGAATTATTTTTTAATCTCATTAACGTTAAATTGACTAAGACAATTCTTACATCTATGAACTTCTTTTACCCGCTGAAAAGTGCACAAAAATAATTTGGAAGATGTAGAAGAAATCAATTATGAAAATAGCAATGTTTGAAAATTTTTATTTTATTATATTTGATTCGAGGGTCAAAAAAACCATTTCTTTATAATTAAAGAAAATTATTTTTCCTTGAATATTCATTCTTACATACATACCCTTTTTCGTTTGTCAATCTAAATAATATCTACACACGATTGTTTTAATGTACTTGAATCACTCGTTTGTAACTTTAGGTGATAAAAAAGATAAGAAGTCAGTATAATTCCGAGTCAGCCGAAATACCAACAGGGGAGTCTGGGCATAACTCCGCAAGATACCATACCATCAATTGTACTACGGACAATTGAGATGGTAACTGTTTAGTGATTATGACAAGATAAGGCTCGCCAACGACGAATGGCACACGGACAACCCAGTTGTGGATGCACCCATCTCAATCCAAGTATCTGACTGCTGTCGAAGTCGGGACAATTGGGTTTTGCTCGTAATCTCTAACAGAGTGTTTCGACTCCTCAGAAAAATTCGTAGAATCTATAGAAGTACGTTACAGTAAGTCGCGTTCCGTACGTCAGGTCTGGTTACTTGACTGGAGTTTTCGCAAACTGTAGCCACAAAGTGCTTCCAATTTATTCCTAAAGGTTATTAACTTCAGAACTTTGTTATCATTCTAGTTATAAGACTTAGAGTGAGCATCTATATCTTTTTTAGAGTTTGATGATATCATCAACAGTCGCATCTGGATAAGTTTTTTAGTAAAATTCTTCCCATGTCGAAATGTTCCTCCAATAAATGTACCTTGTTGACCAGTTTTCTGAACCGAAACGAATATTATATACTTATTGTATAGTATTTAGACAATAACGTGCTGTTTTCGATTGAGGCCATTTGATAGGCTCAGATTGTGCCACGTAAGTGGCGCAATCTGGCCATCAAATTGCCGAAATCGAAAATAGGAGGGGAGGGTATTGTCTTTTATTATATAGACTCGCACGATCACACTATAAAATGAGTTTATTTCTAGTCAATTTTAATAATTTAATTTTTTTTTTTTTTTTTCTACAATACACTTTTTCTTTTCGAATTTTAACATGAAAGTTCCGCGAAAAAATAAGGTCAGTATTGGCTGTTTTGCATGTTTTTAAATTATATCATGTATTTGTAGTTATTTATTTTATGTTATTTAGTTATCTTCTTCGATTGTTTATACTAAACCTACAAAGGAACAAAAAGAATATTTTAAACAAAAGTCCGTTGTTGAAAATACTCATTTATCAACAAACAGCTGGCTTAAAAAATTCGTAAATTATCGCGAAACAGTTGGACTGACTGATATTCGTGAGAATATCACTAACTTAAAAGACTTGGAAGAATAGATATCTGATTATGTTACAGTAATGAAACAACAAAATGGAGAAGAATATTCAACATCATCTATTATTAATGCAATGCATGCATTAAATCGACATTTAATATGTATTCCTTATTACGACCAGTTGATTTACTTGATCAAAAGCAATTTCCTGATTTACATTTGATATTTGATGGTAAATTAAAAGAATTAGCCAAAGTTGGTAAAGGTATAAAAAGGAATCTTCAGCTCTTACTATTGAGGAATGTCAACAGATTTTGCAATCTCCTATACTTACTTGAGAAACTCCATTAGGACTTTTAAAAAGAATCTTTTTTTATAATGCAATTTTTCTTGGTCTTCGTGGTGGAGAGCATTATAAATTAAAATTTAGCCATTTTCATAAAAAATATGATGGAGGTTATGATGTAAATATTACTCGATCAAAGACAAAACAAGGAGGTATTGAAGATCCAAATAATGGTTCTGGTGATAAATTACAAATTCCAAATCATCCAAGTATTATTGCAGATTATGATTTATTT